CATGAAGTCGGCTTACATGGAGCTTAACATAAAGCTTACACGAAATCGGCTGTCATTCCAGCATTCCCAGTATGATATCAGTGCGCGAAGATGGCTCTGACTCAGATATACCAGTGCCTCATTACTGATTGCTTTTCTTTGTCAAGCTTGTGAGTATCGGCCTGTCAATGAATGCCAAGTACATCATTATAGCGCGTCAAAATATTCATACAATTGGCCCTACTTAAATACCGTACTGCGGTTAAGAAAAATGTTTGATTACTAATTATGATATACTGTATTTGTCAGGTTACATCGAACTAATGAAAAGTCATACGGTAATTTGGAACATTCGTTCATTTACATCGCATTTCGACGGTTTGGTCAGGTACGAATTTGTTTAGGGTTCAGGGTTTGATCATATTTAGGTATACGGAATTCTTGAAGCCAACCGACACCAGTCAGATTTTTAACAAGGTACCTTCTTCGTAAGATATTTGGCAAGAAGGCCTTGTTTTCGAATTGACTGTGTGTTTCTAAGTGCATCATCGTGTGACGCCTTTGTCGTACTGTTCAGTTCTCGGCGACTGATCTCCGAGGAGAAGCAGGACACCTCGGCGTTTTATTCGGTCAGCCGGTACTTTCCGCCTTACCTCGGCATGATTGACGCTTTCGCTGTTTAACTGTGAAATCGATCATTGGTTACATTTTGTCAACTTTTCTTGAAGGATGTTGTAACTCATAAAATATTATTGGCCTCTTGTCGCCTAATATTTGAAGTTGGTTGCATGGCGAAACGATTCGATTTGTAATCACTGATTTTATTCGCATTCCAATAATGCTTTTTGTCACTAGAACGGTTGTCAAAACGCACCGAAATTCAATGACAAGGGGTAAGCGCTAACTTGCAAGCCTTTTAATTGCAGAATAACAGCTGTTGTTCTTGAGATATTCTCAGTTTCCTGCATTGAGGGTTTTGGATGTATACCGTTTTTTAGTCTGTGGGTAATCATTCGTTTTATTCACTTCACGAAACTCTAACACCATTACTGTTGTTTTGCTCCTATGGCTGTTCCGCGTGCCTAATTACTTTGT